ACAGGGTGTGATCGTATTTCCACACCGGCAGAATGAGACATGAGGAAATGCAGGAGCTGCTTGCTATCTGGAAAACAGATGCTGAAAAAATAACGTGGGAAACTCCAAAGGCCAGAGTTTGCTGTGGAGATAGAGCTAAAGCAATTTGTGATAGCCTGGGAGTTTGGCTCTGCACAGACACAAAAAATATTCTTTTGTCTAGAGTAAAACAGGCGCTGATTTGTTGTCCATCCATCCGCCCCTTGCCAGCCGGAATGACTCTCTGGGCATGCCTCTGACTCTGCAGCTTGGAGAGGTTCACGGAGAGAGCCTTGGTCCTGCACCCACTACGGGGTTGCTCTGGACCAAGGAATCCCCATATCTGATCCATGGCTCTGTGTTTTCCTACCGGCCTGAGCCCTGAAGTGCACGAGCCGCGATGTCACCGGGGAGCCCTCCCAGGCTAAGAGGGAGCTGAGCTGCTCACAGCACTGAGATTGCGGGAACGGGTTCCTCGTCCCCAAGCAGGGGCAGATGGGCTGAGCCATCCTTGTCCTTGGAGACAAGACTGGTTGTGATCAAAAGCAATTCAGTATCTTTATTGCTAAAACATGCCAGCAGAAAAGCAGGGCTCGGGCAGCCTTCAGGTGAGCTGGCAGCACGGTGGGCGATCACAGCACTTGGGTGGCTGCGAGGATGAATAACTGCAGCAGAACCTGGGGGAAGAGCTTGAATGATCTGTTGAAAGACTGTCTAGTGCTAGACAGGTCTGTGATTTTGGAAGCAAAGCAGAGATAACCGCATCCCTCTGCACTGCCCAGCCCCTTGGCTGAGCTGCTCCTGCAGCTGAGCAACAGAGCGCGTGAACTGGCTGCCTTTGCAGCGCTGATTCACTTGGAATCACTCCTGTAAGGAGATCTCCTTGGCACATGCTGTGCCGAAACGGGCAGAGCGGGTCTCAGGCCGGGGAGCAGGTCTGTGCTCCAGCAAGCTGTTCGCTGGTGGAGGTGGCTTGTGAAGCAGCAAATGACACAGGGCCAGGACCTCACCTGATGCTCTGAAAAGAGCTCGGGGCATCGACCAACACGGAGGAGCATCACCCTCTTCCACATTCACCGAGAGGACAAAAGGGCTTGTGAAGAGCCCAGTGTGGCCCTGACACCGCCTGCCTCGGGCTGCCGATGGAGGCTGCCTGCAGGGTCCCATGGGCGGAGCAGGGTCTGGCTTCACCCTTGGCCGGACCCAGTTTGGAGCCCAGAGAAGGCCAACATGGAGTCACTCCCCTGGTTTTCCCTCCAGTCAGTCCTTCGCCCTGCTGGCTCCGTTGCTGCCCCCTCCTCTTCTACAGCCACATGGGACGAGGCCGTGCCGCCTCTCCCCTCCATCCTGCAGGCAGCACAGCGGGCAGCGGGGACTCAAACGGGGTGAGCATCACGTATCACCCCGCAGCTCGGGCCAGCCTTGGCTTGGCTCAGCTCGCTGGCTGATGGCTGAACGCCCCGAGCCTGCCCAGAGGGAGTTTCCATTGCACACACACCATAAAGTTTCCTCCTTTCATGGTAACAGACCTGGGATCGCTTTTTTCCAGATAAAGTGGGGGGACTGTCAGGACATGTCCTAGAAGATGATAAAGGATCAGCAGCTGAGATAGAAACCAAGACAGCGTCTTTCACTCCACACCTTGATATATTTGTTACCCATCTCGGTGTTGTTCAAACTTACAGAGCAAAACCTGTCAGCAAGGGTAAAGCCTGTGCCTGCCGTTCCTTACAGTGCAGGAGGCGTCTTTCCCAGGGTTGCATCCTTCAGCTCGTTTTAACTGAGCTGTGAATTGCTGCGAAAGGCACTCAGGAGAAGCTGGCCCACGGGGGAAACCCGATGACTCCTAATTAGCTCTTATTCATTACATTAAAAGCACAATTAAGTGCTATTGTTTGAGGCAAACACAACGCACTGACCCCAGCCTTTTCACACCAACCTTCACCCCGCTGGGTTGCTGTGTGCGCTGCTTGTCCACTCCTGACCCATAATTTCACCTCCCTTGCCATGCGAACCGGAGGAGCTCAACTCTTTCCTTCCCCCTGCAGCGCAGGGGAGGGAGAGATAGCATCTGTGGCATGCTGCTTGCTGGAACAGCCTCTGATACCATCTCCTGTACATTACGATGTCTTTTTTTTTTTTTTTTTTTTTATCTCAAGGGAATTTATTGTGGGTGAGTGTTTCAGGAGAGCCTGGGAGATTGCATTCTTCTGGTAGCACAAAATAGCTGAAGAGGTGCATGCTCCTCTGTATAATCAAGCCCTGTAGACAGTGCGCGGGGAACTTTGTGCTAAAGGTTTCTCTTTGTAAGAGCAGGGCTGGTTTGGGGATTGCTATTTAAGAGCTCAGCCAGAGGTCAGGGCAGCAGCGAACTGGCAGAAAAGATCAGAAAAGACCAGAAAAAGCTGGTATCTGCAGGGCAATCTCCAGATCTCATCTTAGGCTCCTGTGCTAGCTGTAATAAAAGAGTTTAAACTTGGGCCGAGGTCGTGGTAATACAGAAAGAAAAGTCCTAAATCCAGGTATTCCCTGCCTGCGGGGCTGTGGCAGGGCTTTGCCTCATGCTAGGGCAGTTGTCACCTTCAGGCTCACTCATAACTTGGCCTAAAATGTGGGAGTGACCTGAGCAGGGGGACAGAAATCACAGCACAGCTTTTGGCCCACGTGAGGGGCTCATGGCCAACACGGGAATCGCCTGGAGCAGGAGGGTGTTTGCTAGAGCAAACATGAGCAAAGCGATCACGTCTGGAAGAGCTCAGAGCAAGGGTGGCCAAGGACTGGCACTCGAGCACAGCTCCCACACGACGGCTGTTGGGTAACCCCGTACCCCCCGCTACGGAGGGCCACGGGCCAGCAGGAACACTGGCTTCACCCTGCCAGGTTGCCCCAGGATTTTGCTGCAAGCTGAGCACCAGCATCTGCACACTCTGCCATTTGCCAGCGGTGGGTTGCTCCCAGGCCCCCTCCCTGCCCCCAGCTCTCTGAGGCCACGTGTGCATCCCAGATCCCCAGATTTTGCAGCTTGGGGGGTCAAAAATCCAAATCTGAAGGCAATCAGCTCTGAGGCAATGCTGCCCAGAGACTAGAGCCCTCCACTAAGAGGATCTGGAGTCTGTTTCTGGTTAAGTTGCTTCCTCCTCGGCCACCCAGAAAAATCCCACCACCTCTCCTGGAGCTGCTAAAGGAAGAGAACGTGACTCCCTATTAAGTCCTTGAGATCTAACAGCGATGCAGATGAAGCGTTGTTGTTGTTATTGTGTCCTTCAGGGAACAGATGAAAGGCAGGAGGCACTATGAATTACCGAGGGTGAGGCTCTGGGAACATTTTAGCAACTCCGAAATCAGTTAAGTGCGTTAGAATGTGAAAACAGCCAGAGGGGCCCCGGGAAGGAAGGAGATCACCACAGGAGAGAAAGCACAAAAGGGTTCCTAATCCCTATAACTCTCTTTTCGCTACCTCACAGGCACCTCTGCTGAAAAAAAAAAAACCAACTCCTCTTATCCGAGAATGACATTGCTGAAGCCAGGCAGGCCAGCAGGTTGGGCGTGCGATTTTCCACTGCATACTGCAAGAGCTGGCGCCACATCAATGAAGGGATTTTTTTTTGTTTTCCCGACAAAGAATAAAACAGCGCAGTGTCTCTCTTCCTGGGTTCTCTGCTGCTTTTTTCACGCTAATACCTGTCCGGCTGCATTACTATAATCACCGCGCTCAATCCCTTAATAGCGCCATGCAGGCGTGGCTATCGGGGTGGCTGCATTGCCTCATCCCTGCACACCTCTTCTGCGCTGTCCTGTCCAAACCCTCTGCTTCGCGGGTGGTCGCGGTGTTCTTGCTCCTCACCGCTGTGCGTGTTGCCCTTTGCCCATCGGTACTTTTGGTACAGGTCCTGCTGAGTTACCTTAGCATCGCGTCTTGCGGCTGCAAACCTGTAGGAGAAAGCGAATCTGCATGCAGGCATCAGCACCGATAAGAGCTGATCGCACTCTTCCCATCAGGAATTGCCCGTTATGTGGCCTGGCAGTGCCTGTCTCATGTAGCTTCAAATTCTTTTTCTCTGATTTAGACTATTCAAGCATTAAAACCTGCCTCAGCCATGAGATAGAAGATATCATGGCAGAGATGTTTTTGGCTTCTACAAATCTTTTAGAAGTCACGGACTGCTCCTGCGGAGTTTGTGAAAGCTGGAGCGGCAAAGCAGGTGCCACTGGGAAACATCAGGCATCTGCCTTCTAACCGGACTGAAAACCCACTGCTTAGGGACTTTCCAGTCTGCGTAGACCAGTACGTAAGAAGAAATTACGGGAGTTTCTTCTCTTTTGAGCTCCAAGGTTTCTGGCAAATATGGTATCAGTATACAAATACCGCCAGGTCTGTGCTTGTCCTGGGAGTGAGGTCCCGACAGGAAAATTTCCATCTGGCTTTGGGTTGGCCCATATAAAGATTATGGATGCGCAGAGCTTTTAAGTCAGCAGCTTTCCTTGGCTTTAGAGTCTTTAAAAAAGCAAATAAATAGATTTTGTAGATTTTTAACGATATAAGACACTTGTGGGTGACTCGGCATATCTCAGAGGATTCACTTGTGTTACTTCAGGAGGGAGCAGCAGGGTGGAGCTGGAGCGAGCACCTCTGCGTCTCAGGTGCAACAGCAAAATGCTAAAACGTAGCCGTGAGCAAGGAGCCTTGGGTCTGAATCACGCCGGGTGCTGGGAACTGAAGCGGAAGGAGAAGATCCTATGTGTGCCCCGGCGCTTCTAGTGGGATGTGACAAAAGATGTGAAATCGGGGAGAGAAAAATGATGATTCTGGAATTTGGCTCTGGCTGTCGGGGGTGACGACAAGCATTGGTAACGCCTCCTGCCCGGGCTATAAAGGGCTGGAGGCCAGGGGGAAGCGAGCACTCGCTGTCTGAGCTGCCGAGCCGGGTGTCGTCCTCCAGCCCTCCAGCCCTCCAGCCCTCCAGCCTCCGCCAGCCTCCGCCATGCGCATTGGCGGCAGCGTAGGAGGGGGCCTCGGTGGTGGCTTTGGGGGTAGCTACGGGGCTGGCTTTGGAAGTGGCTTTGGAAGTGGCTTTGGAGGTGGCTTTGGAGGTGGCTTGGGAGGTGGCGATGGCATCCTCCCGGCTGGGGAAAAGGAGACGATGCAGAACCTCAACGACCGCCTGGCTGCCTACCTGGACAAAGTGCGTGCCCTGGAGGAGGCCAACACTGACCTGGAGGTCAAGATCAGGGAATGGTACAAGAAGCAAGGACCTGGTCCAGAGCGCGACTACAGCCCCTACTACAGGACTATCGAGGAGCTCAGGAACAAGGTAGGATGCTGTGATTAGCACAGTGCGACGCCCTATTATCAGAGAGGAAGCCACAACACCGGCTGCTACGTCCGTAATTAGGAAGCAGTAACTGTCGTAAAAAGTGTCCATGCACGTGCAGAGTGCCAGGCTGGAAATTCAGAGATTTCTCAAGGTCAGCTTTTGATTACATCCTTCCAGATGGAACCAATGGCAGTTTTCTCTGGAAGAGGCAGCTGTAAAAGGGCATAATGCAAAAATGAAGAATAAGAGACAAATCTGCACTTTTTTTGAGAGCTTAAAATGAGTATGCAGGGGAAGTCGTGGGTGTGCACAAACTGTGAAGTGTTGATGAGGTATTTGTAAACGTTCAGTCAAAAAATTTGCAAACTTGTTGCAGCTCCCCAGTATTGATGTGATTTAGATGCTGAAGAGAAAAAGATGGAAGTGCCCAATAATGAGGTTTTTGCTTCCTTTTGGCAGTCACTACCCCAGGGCCAGGCTTGCTGCAAACCCACCGAGCCAGGCAGCTCTGGGGGAATACCTCTGGGTTCTGATGAGATTCCCACCACCTCCACCTCAGGAGGAAATACTCAAGAGTTGACTTTATTCTTCTCTGTAACTTCTTACCTATGAATTGCCCCCAGGAAACACGAAGGAAGGCTGCGTACAGCCAGAGCTGCAGGACTGCTGGCAAATGATGCAGGGAATCCATCTTCCCCCCCTCTCCTTGGCACCATAACTGATGTCCTCCCAAACTCTGACTTGAATCTTCTCCCACTGTGGATTACTTGCTCCTGGCTTTGTGATATAAAAATCAGAAGCTGTAGGCACCTGCTCATTGCATTTTGCTCCATTTCTGCAGCCAAAAAATTAAACCCATCCCTGACCAAATGGGCACAAGGTTTGCCAAGCACAAGCATCCTGCTGGTCCACCTGTCCTGCCACCACACGGTGCTGTGGATGGGGGAGAAGGTGATTCTTTCTTGATCCTTGCATAATCAGCACATGCCCTAAAGCATGGGAACAAATACTTTCATCAGATCTCACACATCTTATGTGGCTTCATGCTGCCTTTTGAAGGATTTTTGGAAAGGGAGGTCACAGGGTAATCAGCCCCGTCCTGCAGTTGGCCTCAGCTGTGTCTCACTTGTCCTGATTCAATACTTCTGCTAAGGAAACCCCAAGCTTCCCCCAAACTGTTCCTGTCCTGACAGTCTCACTTGTGCTCCCATCCCTTGGTCAGCCAGGAGGAGTTCCTGACACTCATTTAGTGCTTTTGCTTTATCCTTCACCCTCCAGGTCCTGGTGGCCACAGTTGACAACGCTAACCTCCTCCTGCAGATCGACAATGCCAGGTTGACAGCTGATGACTTCAGGACCAAGTAAGCCACATTTCCTGGAAAAATGGAACAAAGTCTGCAGAGACATTTGATGAAATGAGGAGGAAATCCCATCCAAAACCCAAAAGGGCAATGGGGAGACAAAGCCTTCAAAGTGAAGGAGAGTTTCCAAAGCAGTAGGTTAGCTAAATCTATAGGCATCTGGGATTGTTTTGCTTCCATCCAAAACTTCTCTACTTTATTCCCATTGCTTGTTCCTCTGTGGTACGACCTCTCATGTACAGAGAACTTGCACCGCGTCTCTGCTGTGCATTTAACTTGTGTGTGTATAGCTCAGCAAAGCCCAGACCCAGGAACAAGGCCCAGTGATATCAGGAGCAAGGTGATGTTATGGACTCAGATGGGCACAGTTTTATCAGTTGTTCCCCTGCGTTCACTGGCATCCACCATCAGCAGGTTGTCCGTGCACCACCGGGGTCATGCAGCATTGACATGATGACAGCAGCAGCACCAGGGTGCTCTGTCCTCGGCTGGACAAGATCCTGTGCGACTTCTGTGACTGTTCTTGTGTTCCCAGGTTTGAGACGGAGCAGGCCCTGCGCCTGAGCGTGGAGGCTGACATCAACGGCCTGCGCAGAGTCCTGGATGAGCTGACCCTGGCCAGAGCCGACCTGGAGATGCAGATCGAGAACCTGAAGGAGGAGCTGGCCTACCTCAAGAAGAACCACGAGGAGGTGAGCACAGAGCCAGGCTCAAAAAAGTCCAGCCTGGGCCCAGAAATCTGAGGTCTGGTCCAATCTTTAAGACTGTGCTGAGTTTTGAGCTGCTGGGAGGGAAGATGAGAAGTGCTGGTAGGGAAGCAGAGATGATGCATTCCGGATAATGGCGCATCCTCTCCAGAGCCTGTATAACACCATTCACCACTTCTTATCTCAGCAATGTCCACTGCAGCTGTTACAGATTTATTAACAATCCTAGCAGCTTCGGGCCGATCTCCTGAGAGGCAAAGCCAATTATGGGCTATGATTTATTCTCTGAAGAAAGCCAGATTTAACTCAAATGGAGATTTCTTGAGAATGTGGGTTATTTTGTCTGTGACTGTGGAGCAAAGGTGCCAGTTTGCTCCCTGTTGATCAGCCCCAGAAATACCTGCCGAAGGATGCTATCTTTCCTGAAGAACTCTAGCTTGAGAGGAACATCCCTATATGCTGATTGCTGGATTGCATGAGGATGCGTTTCTCTCTTCTGCCAGGAAATGAATGCCCTGCGCGGGCAG